TTCTTAAAGTAAATATATATATATATAGGCGTGTTTGTTTCGCGTATTGATCTTTTGGGGTTGGCCGCACAAAGCTCCAAGCCGCGTGTAACATGCAGAGAAGTGTTAAAATTCTCAGTTTTAGTCCTTACAAAACACAATTTGTTCATTTTACACCCCTAACTTGGCTTTTGTGCTTTCAAAACCATTTCATTTAACGTCGTAAAACTTGACGCTCAATTATTGCTCCCCTTCCTTTATTTCTCTTTCACTATGACGTGGCACCGTCCACCTTACGTCACTTATAATTCCGCTAAAACTAACGGTAGAGCAATAAGTCAAACCGTAGTGTTTGTTTCTTCGGTTAGTATATTAAACTGAAGACGAGTCAAATTAGTCCATATTTGCTAACCCTTCTTCATAAACATACCAATGAAACTATCTAATTTCCAATTTTACGAAATTTGTTTTTTTTTTTAACATAAAAGTGTATACTCGATTGACTTTTTTGTATTTGGTACAGTTTAAACCACCCAGTACACACCAATCGAAATCTGACGGCGTTAAATAAAAACCGTCAGAAAAGACTTGTATTCGTCTCTTTCCCTCTCTCTAGGGAAAAGAAGGAACAAAGCAAAGCCTCGCAGTGCTCATATTTCCTTCATCTTTCTCACTCTACAAATCCACCTCTATGTGAAACTGTATTTGTCAAATTTATCTTTCCGACGACGTTTCCTCCGACTTCGGACATAAGGTTCGGTGTTCTCATCTGTTCGATTGTTGTTATTACTTTGTTCTTTTAGATTTTGTGTTAGGTGCCGATTTTAGGGTTTTTTTGTTTCTATTTTGGGTAATCTTAACCTGGCTTTTAGGTTTCCTTGGCCCTTATCTCGGATCTGTTTGATGTTAGTTATGTGACCTATGTAGATATATATGCCTGATTCAATTGCTATTTTTGGTATCCTGAGATTTTTTTCTTTTTGGGATTTTCTTAGTGAAGAACTGAAGATAGTCATCAAAGTTCACTGACTTAGATGTTAGTGGGCAACGGATTTGTCGATTTGATTTTCTCTTTATTTGATCCCAATCTTGTATTGATTTTTCCCTTTAGTTCCTATGCGGCTAGTTGGAACTTTCTTTATCTTAGGCCATGTCCTTGCCCAGTTTAAGTTACTGTGTGGATGATCACAGCTCTTATCGATGGTGTTAGTAACATCGCAAGCTTGGGAACTTGCGTTGAATTGACTGATTCTGTAATTGTTTTTCTGGTTTGAACTGTAAGGTTTTGAAGGATTTATAATCATAATTGGTTTTGATTGAGTTTCTGGAATTTTGTTTTTATAGGAAGCTTTTGAGGTGTTCTACTGTGGTTTCATGATCTAACCGGAGTGTCTTTGTGCGGTGCTCGGTAGTTTTCACACCCTTCAGTTATGGGTAACGCTTGTTGTGTTGCTGCTCGAGACAAGATGGTAGTGCCTAATACATCAGCAGTCGAGAATTTGCAAAGAAACAATGTGAGGTATTCTCCAAATTGGAGCTTCCGATGGGATAATAATAGAGGACGAGTGGCGGGTGAAGATACCTCTCTAAGTTGGTTATCTGATGGGATTAGTCGTAATGATGGGTCTGATGTCAAATCCGAATCAGCATTTTTATCATCAGAAGGGTCTCCTTTGGACAATTTCCAGACGCAGTCATGGCAGAAGTCTCCTGCTTCAGGTAAAAAATTTCAGCCTTTTAGGCAGTTAAATCTGTCAAAATGTTACTTGAAGCAAAATGTAGGTACCTTGTTGTGACCCGCTTTGAATTTAGGACTACTTTTCTACAGAACATGTTCAGGATTGAAAGACATTGATATGTCTGTTGACATAAATTGTCTCTCTTGTTTGCATCTTGGATTGCTTTTCATTGGACTTCATCCATCTTGATCTTTAAACTAAGACATTTTCCATGTTATGACATCACGTGATTGTGTGGCAGATCAATCTTTTTCAAGAAATGCATCCATTGACACAGTCTCTGAACAGGTAAGAAGCTTGTTTCACTGCTAGCTATATATTTGCCACGTATCTCTGTTGATATAACCTCTATTTTACTTTTCGTAGATCACCCAGAACAATGCTTCTCATCCATCTCCTGCAAAACGATCTCTTTCATTGGCTTCTCAACCGTCATCCTTCTCAGCGTCACCACTATCTTCCCAGAGCCACTTGCTAATGCCACCTGCACGTTCATCAACACTTAAGCTGACACAGCCCCCTCGTCTATCAATGCAAGCCTCAGATAGTCAAATCTTTGGATTTACCTCACTGAGCAGAAGCTCAGCAACTGAAGAGAGGCTGGGAAATGAATCTCATTCTGGTCCATCTGATGGATGGTCCATGCAAGCCTTTTCTGAAATGATGGCGTATTCTCGCAGAGAGTCTTGCTCTTATGATAACGAGTCCTTAGGGCTTCGACGTGACAAGATAGACCATTATGGAAACCGAAAGTCCAATTATCAGCAAACCTGTGATGCTTGCTCGAGAACCTTGTCTGAGAAATCTTTGTTGAGTAGCCAAAAGATCTTTGCCACTAACGAGCTCTCTGTAGCTGCGATCCTAGCTTGTGGGCACGTCTATCATTCTGAATGTCTAGAGCAGATGACACCCGAAACCGACAAATTCGATCCTCCGTGTCCCCTTTGCACACTGGGTGAGAAAAAAACATTGAAGCTCTCAGAAAAAGCGTTAAGGGCAGATTTGGATTTGAAAGCTAAACAAAACAAGAGACTAAGAAATCGCGTTGTGGATAGCGATGACTTAGTCATGTTTGATCACAGCCACAAGGCAGGACCAGTAGGCGGTACTGGACACAAAGGTAAAGTCCCAAAGCTGATATCAAGTTCAAGCTTAAGAAGCTATTCCCCGAAGCCTTTCCTTGCACGACACTTCTCGTTCGGGTCCAGAAGCAACAGTAGTAAATCCCCAAAAGAGAATCACTCTTCAACCTCTCTCAGAAAGAAAGGCTTCTTCTGGACCAAATCAAGCAAACTTTGAAACTGTAAGCA